TAAGAAAAACACATTTTTCAAAAGCCTATACGTCTCGCAACTACTTTCAAAAATGAAGCTCTTCCGGAGTCTCTCGTGACTGAAATTTTGTACAGAAGAGTGAATGAAAACTATTTTTAGACGGCAGACGATGACCATGCAGTATTGATGTGCAATCTTGCTAAGACTGTACCTGAAGAATTACATTGCCACACGCAAGTTACGTTTGAGGTAGCAGACGCAACATTCGGCACACGGAGAATGTCACAAAATCGAACAAGACTTCGGAATTTGGAACGTAACGTGAAACGTGTGTTGAAAGTCTGGCACGCTTATTTCAAGTGACACCTTTCTTTAAGCTGTGATTTGAGGGTCTCGGATGAATGCGTCGGTGTTAAGTCTTCTGCCCTCTGAAACATAAACTTCTGTCGGACTGTGCGGCACTACAACCTTAACGACGGCCATCTTCATTTTAATATTATCCCACATCACAAGCCTAGTTCTTCCAATTCGGCTCTTCCCTTCAGCTTCTCCAACCAAAATGTTGTACAAACTTCTGATATTCAACACGCACGATACGCGTTCCACCCATCTCATCCTCTAACATCATCGTAATAATATTTGGTCGAGATTACTTCCCTAAATCTTCAAACCAATGACTTTCATGACTGCAGGAAAGCCCACAATTTTTATGGATTGAAAAGAATTTCATAATCCACGAAAATGCCGTTACCAGAAAGTACTGACGACATAAAATCTTGCACTGTATTTCCACTACTAAATTAAAAATGCAAAAAAAACCAGCAGTCTACGCTGCTGTAATTGTTATATTATTTTTGTTGATTTTTGTAGATAAGATAATGAATAAAGATAATAAAAATTCTTCACAGATCATAAAGATCACACGAACATCACGAAGATCACATCCCTCTAAATAATTTATTTAATTCCGTTTCGAAATGCGTTCTACCGTTTTCAAGCGCCGTTTTACCATCCGAAACCAGACCCGAACTCCTCCGCTCTCCACTTTCCATACGGTAACGCAGCGAAGAAGTTTCTGGCCGTGTCAGTTACCACCCACAGAACAAAATTACAAAATTTCATCATGTTTTTAAAAAAAAATACCTCACTAAAGTAATTATTTCCGCTACGTACGAGGTAACATTTTACGGCAGCTACCTGAAGAAATATAACATTCTTCAAGAAGAATCTAACATTTAGCAAAATTTTAATATTATGCCATTTCAGCTTATATAAAAATACAAATTTTTAACAGAAAATTTACTGCCCACACAAACATTCTGAAACATGCGTGAATTTTTCAAACAAAGAACACAAACTCTGGGTTACTTCTGCGGGCAAGACAGATTATGAAATCGTGATGTACCATGCTGAGAGCAAAGCATTAATCAATCAATCAATCACTAGAAGCTGAAATAGAAGGACGGCAGGTTATCGAGATAGTTCTGCGAACTTTTCAAAGACGAGAACGTTAACTAAGTCTAAGTTCAACATGCAAATAACGTGATACTGTACAAACCAACTGCAACTCCTTAACCGGGTGGTCCTCGTTTCAATACCCCG